CCCATCCAACATTTGGCAACCATCACACAACTTCAAGGAGGGTATGTTGGGATGAAGTCAGCAGGCTGGCTCAGGGGCAGCCAGGCAGTGTAACCCCAACTTGACGGGGCAAGCTCTATGAGAAGCAGCGACCAGATAACTTGGCGATGTCTCTAGCAGTATACAGTATAGAGCATCTGTTTACTTTGACTTTCAATGGAGCAGTTATGAACAGACATGGTTGTGGCAATTTTAGGCTTTTTTTCCCCCAACTTTAGCTTTTGATGGAACCAGTATAGGCTGTATTTTTCTGTCATCCATTTGCAATGTTATGAAGTCAACCTTACTCTTTGTCACTAATTTCATTTATTTTTAGGGCAAATTGTCAATGCACCCTACCTCGTTCATGCGTCCTACATTTTCCATTTGAATTGTTCTTTTTTAAAAAGAGACATTCTCATTATTCTGCCAGTAATATAGTTGGGGCTTGTAATTACATTATAAAGCACACTGGGAGGGGAAAGATGACATACAATCCCCAGGGAGATACTGATGAAAATTGGATTTTCAAATTCTGAATAAAAAATCACTTTAACATTTGGAATCATAAAGTTACAGAACTGGTAGGGAATAAGATCTCCTATGTGTTGGTTAAGATCATAAGCTGTGTGACCCCAGGCTAGTATTTAATCCTTGTAAGCCTCAGTATCCTCTCCTATAAAATAAGAGATACAGCATGTCCTCCAAAAACATCTTGTTCTACATTGTTTTAACATCTGTGTAGAGTCTGCATGCCCTCCTCGTGTCTGCACCAGCTTTCTCTGGGTCCTCTGGTCTCCTCACAGATCCCAAAGACATGCATACTCAGGTCATTGGTGTGTCTCAATTGTCCCAGTCTAAGTGTGGGGATGTGTGAGTGTGCCCTGCGAAGGAAAGGTGTCCCTCCCAGAGTTGGTGCCTACCTTGTGTTCACTAGTGACCCAGAACTGTTGGAAAATGAAAGAACGATGGCCTCCCTGGTGGTGCAGGGGGTTGAACGCAGTGCTGTGAAGCTGTCCGCAGCCTCTGCAGTGCCGGTTCGATCCCCGCCAGCCGCGGAGCAACCCACATGGCGAGCAGACCTCTCCTGTCTCACCAGCTGCTCCGCTCAGCAGCGTATTTCGTCAGTCTGCCTGTTCTGTTTCCCATTCTGTCTCTGGTGAATCCTCTCACCCTCCCGCACATCTGGCCTGTACCCCAGTGCTTACATAAATAAATCAATCTTTAAAAAAAAGAAAATGAATGAGGGCCTCCCCGGTGGCACAGCGGTTGGGCGCTGGGTTGCGATGCTGCCTGCAGCCTCTGCAGCGCCGGTTCGATCCCCGGCTGCTCCCCCACATGGCGCGCAGACCTCTCCTGCCGCCCGCTGCTCCCCTCAGCAGTGTACTTCGGTCCTTCTGCCTGCTCTGCTCCCCGCTCTGGCTCTGGTGAATTCTCTCACCCTCCCGCGCTTCTGACTGTACCCAGTGCTTGTATAAATAAATAAATAAATCTTTAAAAAAAAATAATGAATGAATACAACTTAATGTGTAATATTAGAAGTGTTTTGGGTATTAATTTAGACTTAGGTGGTGGTTGGGTACCAGAAATTTGTCTTAGAAAATTAACTCTTGTTTATATCAAGTAGCCTATGATCAAATTGGTTTCATTACACTTAAAGTTGCAGTTTACAAGAAACTATCTACTCTTTCCTGGTGGCCCAGTGGTTAGGATTCCTGGTTCTTACAAGAAACTATGTGTCTCACCCAAAGCAGTGATAGTGAAGGCAAAGATAAACAGCTGGGACTACATCAAATTAAAGAGCTTCTGCACAGCAAAAGAGACAATAACAAAAACAAAGAGAAACCCCACCAACTGGGAGAACATTTTTGCACACAACACTAATGATAAAGGACTGATCACAAAAATCTGCAAAGAGCTGATGAGACTCAACAACAACAAAGAAAATAATCCAGTCAAAAAATGGGCAGAAGAGCTAAAAAGAAACTTCTCTGAAGAGGAAATGCAAATGGCCAACAGGCATATGAAAAAATGTTCAACATCACTTGTCATCAGGGAAATGCAAATCAAAACTACCATGAGATACCATCTTACACCAGTGAGAATGGCACATATTAAAAAAACTAGCAACAAATGTTGGCGAGGGTGTGGAGAAAAAGGAACTCTTCTGCACTGTTGGTGGGAGTGCAAACTGGTCCAACCACTGTGGAGAGCTGTGTGGAGATTTCTGGACCTACTAAACATAGAGCTTCCATATGATCCAGCAATTCCACTCCTAGGTATTTACCCAAAGGACACAGAAACATCAATTCCAAAGAACACCTGCACCCCTATGTTTATAGCAGCACTGTTTACAATAGCTAAGCTTTGGAAACAACCCAAATGCCCAAAAATAGATGACTGGATCAAGAAGATGTGGTACATATATACCATGGAATATTACTCAGCATTCAAAAAAGATAAACACATGCAATTTGCAGCAACATGGATGGCGCTGGAAGGGATCATGCTCAGCGAAATAAGCCAAAAAGAAAAAGAAAAATACCGGATGGTCTCACTCATAGCAGGAATCTAGAAAACTTAAATAAGGGACCAGGAAAATGAATAACTATAAGAAAGTGAAAATCAAAATCAACAAAAAACTATGAACCAGAGACACTTTTAGGGGGGCGGGGGCGGGAGGGGAGGGATTGGGGTCAGAATGGGGGGGAATAAAATAAAAAAAAAATATTGAAACCCATGGAAATTAAACTGATCCATCAATCCATAAAAAAAAAAAAAAAGAAACTATGTGTCTTTAAGTGAGGACTCTAACTTCTAGAGCTCTTTTGTGGATTAAATAAGGTAATAGGGGTCTCCCTGGTGGCGCAAGGGGTTAAGCACTACACTATGAAGCAATCTGCAGCCTCTGCAGCACAAGTTCGATCCCTGGCCGGCCAGGGAGAAACCCACATGGTGAGGCAGACCTCTCCTGTCTCGCCCGCTGCTCCCCTCAGCAGTGTGCTTCGGTCAGTCTGCCTGTTCTGTTCCCCATTCTCTCTGGTGAATCCTCTCACCTCCCACACCTCTGGCCTGTACCCCAGCTCTTGTATGCATAAATAAATAAAACTAAATCTAAAAAAAAAGAATTTAAAAAAAAATAAGGTAATAATTGTGACTAGCTCTCTTGTACCCATTTTTATTCCACAATAGTTGGAATAACTATTATTATCATTATTATTGCTATTAAACCATCATTATTTGCTCCAGATGACCCCAAGGATATACAGTCTCTTCAAGCACATCTGATCCTATCCCAATAGGCATTTGTCCTTCAGGACTCTTGAACTCTTCACTTAGGAGAGACTCCTGGTTAGCCGGAAAAAAACCCTCTCCTTCTCTTTGATCTCCCTCTAAGGTGCTCTGGACAGCTCTTGTTTAACAGCTCTTGTTATAGAAAGCTGAGTTGATGGCCATTACTAAAGCACCTCTTTGACACACCCTTCAACATCTACTTTTCACTATGGTCTTGTAGTCCTAGGATATGCCACCATACTCACATCCTAATGCATCTGAAACTATTAGCATTCCTGCTTTCCTTGGGATTGGCCACCATGTTCTTTTTTTATTTTTTTTTTAAAAGATTTATTTATTTATTTATACAAGCACTGGGTACAGTCAGAAGCATGGGAGGGTGAGAGAATTCACCAGAGTCAGAGCGGAGAGCAGAGCAGGCAGACTGACCAAGTACACTGCTGAGGGGAGCAGTGGGTGGCAGGAGAGGTCTGCGCGCCATGTGGGACCCTCACCCGGTGGGCAGGGATCGAACCAGCACTGCAGAGGCTGCGGGCAGCTTCACAACCCAGCGCTCAACCGCTGCGCCACCGGGGAGGCCCTGGCCACCATGTTCTTATGAGCTATTGTTCATCTTGCTACCTGAAAGAGGACTTCCTTGACTTTCTTTAAAGCTCATAGTAGTTGGCACTTATGGTAGAAGAGGATGGGGCTTTCCTAGCTCATGTCTTTTTTCACTCACTATTGGAGATTAGGATGAGGTTCCGCGCTGCCGAGGAATTTATCATCCAGCTCCAATATCTTATTTGTTTTGAGGAACATAACCACAAACTCACCAGAAGTCTCCTCTTTTTGGTCTAGGATCTTAGTGGGGTCCTAATGCAACAGAGATCTTTGAAAGTCAGCCATGTCTGAGGCTCTGCAATGACCCTGAATAACAGCATATTTTATGGGTGAGGAAAATGGAGCCTAGGGGCTGAAAGAACTGGTCAACAGCTCAACACCAGTGAGTTTCCTTTAGGGTATGATATTTATCTCTGTCACTAATCCCTTCTGCCTTGTATTGAAATTAGAACAGCCTCCCCACTCCATGCAAATATTTAGCATAGCATCTATCATCAGGAAAATGCATACTAAATATTGAGTTATGAACTCTCTATCCAGGCATGCAGAACTTTGAAGGACGCAATTCCTTTAGCCGCTGTGTCTTTAGGGAGAGCACTGGGTCTCACACCACTGGCTCAGTCAGGGTTTGCTGCTTCTCCTCCAGGAGGCTTCCCATGGTGTAGGAACTATAGATCCTTCAGCTCTCTGGATTCTCCACGCCCGTAGGTCTCGGCGTCACAAGTGTTGTCTACTCTTCGCATAGTTCAAGTTGTTCTCCTAGAGGCCTTCCCGAAGGCTGGGCTATGCTGGGCCTTATTTATCTCAAAGCTTCCTGTATGAGTTGCTTTTGACCACTCTTCGTCACGTGAGTGGGCAAAAGACGTTATTTCTGAAGTAAATCTCCCATTTCTGACCATGTAATAATTTAGCTATCATGACTCAAAAACAAATTCAGGCTCCCTCCATTGACCCCACCAACCGCGCGTTGCCTAGTAACAGCCTCCCACCGGTCCAGTGCCTAGGCCCCGCCCCGCGTCCTAGTGCGCATGCTCACAGCCTTCTTTTCGCGTCTCCCGGCGGGCGCGCTGTGGTGACGTAAGGGATCCGCGACACTTTCGGCGGGCTGAGCTCTCAGGTCTCTTTTCCAGACTGGTGGAGTGCCGAGTGCCATGGCCACTGCCGGGGTGGCCGCGGGACGACAGGCCGATGATGCTTTACCGCCGCCGACCGAGCCTCCGCTGTCCGAGACGAAGCCGCTGCAGCCTCCGCAGCCACCGCCTCCGATCGCCGCATCTCACCCACAGCAGTCGCCCGCTCCGAGGCCGCAGTCACCGGCTGGCGTAAAGGAGGAGGAGAACTACTCCTTCTTACCTTTAGTTCACAACATCATCAAATGGTAAGGGCCCAGGAGAGGATCAGTCACGACACTCCCGTTTCTCGTCACACTGTTTCAGAGCTGCAAAAGGCTTGCTTTGGGTATACGCCCCCACTGTAGAGATAGGGTAACAGTCCCAGAAAAGGAAGAGACCTTTACCAAGACCTCACCAAGTCTTTCTATGAGTTCTTCAAAGGAATTGAGCCCCGAGAGTATGCCAGACTTTATAAGAGTTAGGAGATACTCTTTAAAAATGAAACCAGTTTAGAGACTAAATGCTGTCGAACTACTCGAGTTTGCATCCCTGTGATCCAAAGTGAGTTAAACTTCTATGAGCCCTAGTATTCTTTTCCTTTTTTCAACACTTCCAGCAGATGATCCATATTTTGTGTAGCACACTACAGTGCTGTGGGACCAACTTTTCACCCCCACTTTGTTCATAAATTAGAAGGAAAAAAAGGACAACGGGAATAACCCATAATTCACAATAATTGGAGAGATGATGAAGGGAAAGATGAAGGGAAACAAAGAACAGAAGTTACTCAGTAAAGCTTTGTTGTAACTTAATATCAATGGAGGTGATTGTATGCTTTTGACCCGTAAAGGAATCCCACACATACAAAGTCTCCTTCATCCCCATATTTGCCTAAATTATTTTTACTGTTATGTTATTTTCAGCACCAAGGTACTAGGTGTCAATCCCTAGTCTTATTCAGTGACTAAAAGCCCAAAACAAAGTTAACTAAAACAAAATTATTGCAATAATATTCAGGTGAACATGAATGTACTCTTGAATGTTTTGCAGAAATGGGATTGCTGCTCACAACATGAAAGTATTGTTAGTGGCCCAACTCTTTGGAGTCTAGCTGGACTAGATTCACGTGATGTGGATTAATGTGATGCTTCCACCACTTTCAAACAAATACAAAGTCTCTGTTCTCACATTAGACCCTGACCTAATTTAGTGTGAATTTACTGTTTATAGGGTAACGCTGACTCTGTGCTGTTTTCCTTCACTTGTGATCAGCCAGTAGCACTTCTTAGCAGCAGTGAGATTGAAAACACAAGTGTAGATCCTGCAGTCCTGGGGTGGTGCAGGATTATAAAGGGGTTGTCCAATATACTTATACTGGCTATAATAAAAGTATAGAAAAATGAAAACAAACACATTCTCAGAGACAGTTCTTGGACCCTAGAGATTGCAGTCCTTCACTCTAATAGAGCAACTGGGTAGCTGGTAGAGCTGGCCTTAAATTTAGATGGGAAGGGAGGGTACTCTATCAAGAATTTGGGCTCTGAAGTCAGTGGATAATCTTGGATTCAAACCTCATGTTGACACTTTCCTAGTAAGAAGTAAAGATATTTTTTAAAGCATAAAACAAGCAAACAAACAAAAACCAACAACAAAACAAAATAGGAGAGGAAGTAACTATCACAAAGTGATGGCCAAGAGCTAATCCACCTTCCAGCCCCAAGAAGCAGCTGTCTTTTATCATGACTTCCTCCAAATCTCAGGAATTTCCAGTACCAAGGATCTCTAGAAATAGAGGCTGAAGGAGAACTAAGAACAGGGGAATTGTAAAAAATCTACTTAAGAAGCAGATCCTGTAGTCCTCTCCCATCATTTCAAGCAGAGTGGTGACTCTCCTTTCATTTTGTCATGGAAAAGAATAAGCCAGAGTGTATCTTGGCTGGGCAACACCAAGCACATTACAGGATGTAGAAGAGGTGAACCATACTGGAAGTAGGGTTAAAGAGAAAATTTAAAAACTGAATATTGGATACTGCCCCCCCCAGCCCCCCTGTCTTTTTGCATCTGACTTTTAGACTGGCAACCAAGAAAAACAGAGGTAACTTCTCTGGCATGTCTGACCATAGATATAGTCAGAGAGTACCCATAGATATAAAATGGAAAGTAAACCTCTTCTCTCAGTTCCTTCCCTTGTTTCAAGCTGTGCAATATTCCATTTTATGAATATGCTATCACCTGTTTAAACAGTTCCCTGCTCAAGGCCACTTTCACTGTTTCTGGTATTTGACTATTGCCGTCAGCTCTACAGTGAACCTCTTAATAAATGCCATTTTGTAAACTCTTGAGAGTCTCTACAGAGTAAATTTCTAGCAATGTCATATGTAAATTCAAAATTTTGATCTATTAGCAAATTCTGAAGGTCTATAAATTTGTCCTTCTACCAGCAGTGTATTGGTGGCTGTTTTCCACACTCCTGTCATCACCCATCACTATTAAACTTTTTCACTTGAACTAATCATATAGGTCAGAAAGGATAGATTATTTCAATTTGTGTCTTTTAAAAAATTTCTCCTTGTGTTTATTTGAATTCTTGATGTGACAATTTGGTAGTGGTTATTGATATTTTTATTGTCTCCCCTGACTAGAATGTGAACTCTTCAAGGACAGGAATTTTATTGTAATTGCCACATGTGCCCAGACCTTAACATAATGCCTGACACAAGAAAGTGTCCAGTAGTGTTTTTCTCCCCCATCTACCACTCCTTATACCTTCCCCCCACCAACTCAGGGAGCTTACTTTGTTTATTAGTGTCTGCTGATTTTTGTAAGTATCTGGCTTTGTTGAATCATCTTTATAAACATCCAGTGGTGATTTGTGGCTTTTGTATATCAATAAAGCATTTTTATATGCAAGTTTATATCAATTTTTCTATGAAGTGTCCCCTTTTCTATTAGGTTATTCTTTTTCTGAGCTCTTTGTGTAGTAAGTCAGGTGGACCTTTGTCAAGTATATTGGTAAATATTTCCCTCAAATTTTTACTTTTCTTTTGATTTTGTTCTTGTTTTTGTTTGTTTGGATTTTGTTTTGTTATTCAGAAGCATTTCATTTTATGTAGGCATATTTATTAAGCTTTTTATTCATGGCATCTGAGTTTTCTTTAGAAAGCCCTTTCCTCTCTAATAAAATAATAGCTATTGATCCCTTTTTCCTGTGACTTTTATGCTTTCATTTTTACTTTCAATTCTTTGATGCTTCTGGATCTTATTTTGATGAAAAGAGTTGAGGGGAGGCAGCTTTTCCCCCAGATAGTTTGTCTTCCCACTGCTGTTACTGAATATTCATTGTTTTCCCTGCTTGAGTTGCAGCCCTTATCATACGCTGAATCCCCATATGTTTTCTGCTCTACTTCTGGGTTTTCTATTCTCTCCAGTACGAAACTGCTTTAGTTCTTAAATCTTCATGGTACATTTAAATATCTTTTAAGACTTGTCATTCCTCACTTTTCCTTGGCACTATTTACCCTTAGCATCTTCACCTTTCCTAGTGCAATTCCTAGTGGCCCATCTGAGATGCATGGTGCTTTAGTTCATGGACGTTTAGTCTTTAATCTGCTCCCTTACTTCCTATCCTGTTGGTACCATTCATTGTTCAGGTCTTCTAACCTCATTTTGGGACCTTATAATCACTCCTTAATTAGCACTTTGCTTTATATTCCTTTCTCTAATTCATCTTGTGCATATTATCAGTTTAATTTTTCTCTACTCAAGATCTCCAGGGCTCCCTGTTCTTCCCACATTGAGCCAAAACTTTCAGGCCTCCCTTCAGGAATCTCTGCAGACCATGTTCAGATGCCTGCCTGGACTGCAGCACAGAGCCTAGAGCACGTCATCCTGATTCCAAGGCCTCCCGCTGTGCACGCTCTGGGTGCCTCTGCAGGATGGCTGCCTGCCCTTCTTTGCCTGAGAGTTGCTATGTTGCTTAGAGGCTCCCTCCTCCACTTGGAGAGCTCCTAGCTCCTGCCGTCCTCCTGGCTGGGGTGCTCACCGCCTGGTGTCAGAAAAGCCTCACCGAGCCCTTACCACTTTCACCCCTCCTAGTGCCTTTCTGTTGAATGAATGATTTAAAAGTACACATTTATGTTTTTTTTTTAAGAATTAAAAAAGGGAAAAGAAAAATTAATTTTTTATGCCTAAAAGATATGTTATAAACCTCAACTCCTTGAGAAGTACCTATATAATAAAGGAGGGATGAAATGAAACCTGTTGGACCAAGAAAAGTTATAATTTTTTTTTTCCCTCCAAACTTGTGCATCTAATCTTAGTCTGGAACTAAGTGTTCCAGTCTAGAAATTCTAAATTGCTGTTGTCACTGTCTTGTCCAATGGTTTGGCTCTCCTAGTAAAAAAGTATTCTGTCAACATGGTACTTGAACATTTTTTAATTAAATTTTTTAGTTGCTGGGTAGGTAGAAGAGAGTCATCTTTGATTCTGCAGCTGGAGCTCAAGCAATGAGCACACTGCATTGTCACGCTGTGCCCATAGCACTTAAAACAAGTCTTGTTGGGTCAGGTCAGTAAGACCTCAGAATCCTGGCAGAACCACTTTCATGGTATAACAGGGTGTTACTGACCTGCTTCTCCCTACACAAGTGCCTATTTTAATCTGACTGGCATTCCACACCAGCTGAGGCCTCCTTTGGGTAGTGCAGGAAGCGGCAGCAGCAAAGAAGTTCAGAAAATGGACACATGCCTCCACAGGACTGACTGCCCTTGTTTTACTGCAGCCCTCTCTGCCGTTCACTTTCCTCCCCTCAGCCACAGCCCAGTGAAGAGGGTGTGTGTCCAGATAGGGAACACCTACACTATTTGGAGGAATTCTTGCTTACAAACCTGTTCACTCCTCTGCCACTTCATCTCTGTTCATTCAGTGTAACTCACAGGGCACCTGCTGGGACACAGGCCTCACAGAGGCAGGCCCTGGTTGGGAAGAGTGGGACATTGAGCCTAGAAAGGTCAGAGGCTGCTTCTGGGTGGACCTGCTGGCCTTCACAGTGTGAACTTGCCTGGCAGGTGTTATCTGGAAGTAGAAAGAACCATCAAAGGTTTGGGGCTCAGACTTCAATTTTGGTACTGTACATAGGCAGTGGGGTTTAGGAGGAGAAGACCCTGGTCTGCAGGAAATTGGCGACAGTGGGAGGAGGCAGGGCTGGACTTGAGAGAGGTAGGAGGTGGAGTTCACAGAACTGGTAGCTGGGCGAACATTGGGCCACATGCCAGCGCATGTGCGGGGGTGCCCTCCAGCAGAGATGGCGTGTGCTGTGGAGGCAGTGAATCTTCTTGGGATTTTTGCAAGTCTCCCCAGACTCCAGGGAGAAAATACTTGGTAACTAGTGGAGAAGAAGCTGAAATTCAGGAAGGTGGGCTGGGCCAGGGAGTTCTTGTAGCTGAAGAGGCGGGAGCAGATGAACACATTCTGGGCTATTTAACCAAACTTCTTTTAGCAGCAGAACCTTTTGTTACTCCTCCCTAAAAAGGAGTATTTTTCACTTTTAACCCTATGAGCAGATAAAAGCAAAGCCATGAGGTTCAAAACCCTTCTCCCATAGGTGTTTCTTCCCATAGGTGCTGGCAGAACTAAAGCAGAGAGATGCAAAAGGAGATAGATAGGTAATAGCTGATGTTTTCCAGATACAACCTATTTGGGGGACATTTTGGTAATCAGCCGAAAATTTAATATATAACCTTTAACCCAGAAATACCATTTCTGGCATATTTCCTTATCACAGTACTTGCACCATCACATACAGCTACAGGTTCAGCATGTTTATTGCCATTCTGACTGCAAGTGATAAATTGCAAATACCCAAATACAGCCATCAGTGACTAGCTTGTCACGGTATGCGATTTGACAAGGAAAGACATCCTAGGTGCACCGGTAAGTGAAAAAAAAAACAAGAATTGGCACCACGTGTGCAGTGTGCACATGTTTTCGTCAAAACAAATAACCCGTAGGTGTACGCCTTGATATATACCTTGAAGCTACACAAAACACCATCTACCACGTTAGTAGAGGTTATCTTTGCGGCATGGGATTGAGGGACTTTCCTTTTCTAAGTCTTGGGTGTCAGTCACTTTTAAGTTTTTTCCCTCTAGCACCTATTACTATCACAGGAAAAGAAATACAACTCACTATTTTAGACATATGGCAACCAGCCAGGTTGTAGAGCGGGGAGGAGCAGGCAAGGACTGGCCCAACTAGACAGTGGGGGGAGAGTCTGAGAGGGAGAGAAATTTTGAGGAGAAAGAAATGGGGAACCAGGTGCCACCAAGAGGTCAAAGAAGTGACTTGGGTTTGGATGAAGGTGGGCTTCAGCGTACTAGTGGGTTCCTTGTGCTTCCAAATTAACAGTGGACACATTTTTGCTCTGTATTTCATCTGTTGGCAGTCCTAAAGCATCGCTACCACAGATTAAGCCGTGTGTAATTAGCTGTGATGGTAAGCGTCCTTCTTATGCTCACCCACCTAAACCTGTGATGTTTTGGGGAGTCTGGTGACACAAATGCAGGAGGTCTGTGCGGCAGCCATGCTGAGCATCGCCTGGGATGTGCACACTTCAAAAGACCGGCAGGACATGGTCTGTCCATCGAGCAGAGCAGAAGTATTTTTGTCCATCTTTAAAACTGTGGTAGACAGGACCAAAGTGTCTGCACCTTGCTCTTTTTGTACTGTTTTTCATGCTTCTAGACCTGGTCTATTCTGTCTGTCTCTTTTTTCTGTCTAAAGTTGGTTGATGACTAACATTGGGCACAAAGCAGTCTCCCATTTGGAGCTTTCTGCTTGGATTCGCTCAATATTCAGGCCTGTCTCTTTTCTTTTGGATTGAATATTTCACAGTCATCTTGGCCTAGCAGGTTCCCACTTGCTTGCAGCTATATCCTGAATAAAGTGCTTTCCTCACTCCAGGAGGCCCACATTATTTACCTCCACCAACTAGGGCAGGCTGGGAAGCTTGTGGAGTAGACCTCACTGTGGGCTGCATGGCCCCCTTTCAGCTTAGCTCCCCTCCAGGCAGGCTTTTCATGTAGCTCCTTCTTTATTATCAGAAGACTGTCTCCTTGACCAAAAAGCTCACCAGGAGAGTGGACAGCCCTTGAGATTTGGGGGTTTTCAGAAATGAGCATCTTAAACATGGCCCACTTCTTACTTCCAGAATTAAATCTTCTTTTAGGCCAGGTTATGTTTGCTTCCAGAACTGAATTATCATAACTTCTTTTCATATTTTTTATTTTATATAATTTTGCCTAAATGTGTTCTTTCAGACTTATGGGGTGTGAACTAGTTTTCTTAAAAATATATTTTAATTTTAAAACTTCCTTGAGACTTAAATTTGTAACATTGTGTTAACATATATGCCATCAAGTATAATGATTTCAAAAGTCCAATGGTTTCTATCCAGAATTGTTGATCTCATCTGAGATCTAAAAAACTAAAATAAGAGATGTTCACTGTTTGCTTCCTTACAAGTAGTTTGCAGTTCTCATGGATACCACGTACTCCCTAGAAACTGGGATAAGGTAAAACATCAATTATATATCTAAATTGAGGGCATCAAATGACACTAAGAAATATTTGGCTCACTGTTTATTCCCTAGAATAAATGATTGCTCTTCCGTGTCTTTCCTTGGTATTAGAGCTTTTGATAGTGAACAGGCCCTGGAAGCTATCTCCTTTGCCAGGCATGAGCCATAGCCAGTGAATTGCAAGGAAAAATGGATCTTCTGTCTATGTAATCAGAGAAATGATGGATTATAAACATGAATTGAAACCATCTGGGTTGAAATTTCCCACCAAGGATGAATGTTTTTTAAAAAAAAATACCATCATTGACAGTTTTCCCCTCTTAAGCCTCAATGATTGACTTTCAGAACAACCTGATCATTTAACTTCTAGGTTTTTGGTCTCAATTGCTTGTTTTCAGAAGCTCACCCCCTTACTAGCTTTTAGAAAAGCACAGGAGCAACTGTCAGTCTGTTTCTTTGATCTTGGGTAAAGGTTCCTGTTCTTGTTTTGCTTTAAATTTAGCAGTGACAGGGGACCATGGGTCTCTGGGCAGCTAATAACAGCTGTGAGATGGGAAATGACTGAACCTTTAAAATGAGTTTGACCCGAAGGCAAGGAGTTTACAGGACTGTGGTAGGCGAGAACTCCTACCTGCCAAAAAATTTCCAAAAGCTTGTAACTAATATAAAATTTATGAATAGGTCTGTGGAAATTAGTTTTTCTGTTAACAGTTCAAGCATTAAAACTCAGCTAAAATTAGCTCTTGCTAGCTGGTAAGGTCTTGTGTTTGACCTGGCAATGCCTCAAATGAAAAGAAATATAATATTTCAGCAAATTTAGCTTGGCATTTGTCATCTGATATTGGTAATGGTGCATTCATTCATTCAACAGACATTTATTACTTGCAGAGCATTCATTCTTTCAATAAATGTTATCTGAGTGCCCCCAAGTCCCCTGTTGGCTGGGCTGGGGCATAGGGATACAGCTGTGAACAAAGCACATAGTCCCTGCCTCTGAGCTAATACAGAGTTTCAGCATCTGATTTTACGAGCTTCCTCTGGGAGGGGCTGCACAGGCACTACCAGACTCAGGGGCACTTTCACTGAGCAACTGTCACCTGCCTACCCATGTAAGAAAGAACGGGTCCCTGTCCTCTGGGGACACACAGCCTAGTAAGAGAACAGATAGAAAACAAAGTGTTCTAAAAGATAATGTAGGAAGACAGCATGTTCTGTAGGGTGTAGCGGAAGAAAGCCAGGCATCTTCTGGGTCTAAACTGCAAATGCTAATGCCTGCCCTCTGCCCCTTACAGCATGGACAAGGACAGCCCAGACATCCACCAGGACCTGAATGCCCTCAAAACTAAGTTCCAGGAGATGCGCAAAGTCATCAGCACCATGCCCGGCATCCACTTGAGCCCTGAACAGCAGCAGCAACAGCTGCACAGCCTCCGAGAGCAAGTCAGGACCAAGAATGAACTTCTGCAAAAGTACAAGAGCCTCTGCATGTTTGAGATCCCCAAGGAGTAGAGTGAGGCTGGCTTCCAGGAGTGCCTGAGAAAGACACAGGAGAGCCAATGGCCTTATTCTCTCCCCACCACACTGAGTGTGACTCTCTGAACTCCCAACTCTAAACTTTGTGGTTGAGTGGGGCTGTTGTACTGCTTCCTTAGTTGAACTTGGCATTGACTGTGCAAGGAGCCAGCATTCGAACTTGGCATGCTTCATTGGTGCTTCCTTGTATGTATCCATATGTCTAGATGCATAATAACTTGAGTGCCTGCTGGTGGAAGTGAGAATGTTCCTGAAGGCTGGGGAGGGGGGGGAGCACTCTACCCCTACCTCTGGGGAGGGGGCCATCTGCTGTGTATTCAGGCTCCGCTGACAGCTCTGAAGAGCACAGTAGGAAAGGAGGCGGCTCCCCTTTGCTTCCTGCCTGCTCTCCCCTCCCTCCCCCTGGGTATGATCAGTGTGTACCAGGTACATATTGTTCCTGTTAACAGCAGTGTCATGAAACATTTGCATAGAATTCACTGGATAAATTAGGCCTGCATTCATATGGCGTGGATTTAAAATGGTAAAAGAAAAGGCCTTGAGAGAATAAACGTGGTATTGATAACTACAGGGTGGTGGAGGCCCCCTTCTCCCCCACACACTTTAATTCCTTTTATGTTTGAGTCAGTGAATGTAACTATGTCTGTGGGGGTGTCAGCTTGATGCCCTGCCAGGGAGGGGGTGGCCTCTCTCCAGGTTCTCCGCCACCTACATGTACTTGTTACTTTTAGCTCTTGCTCCTTGTCTCCTGTCACTTTCAGTCAGCTCGTTTAGCCATTTAATGCCTGAGGATGACCAAACCGCAAAGACCCCATAATGCTCCCCCCTGGTGCTGAGGGTAAGCTCAGACAAGTTTCCAAAAAAGCAGACTTTGCTGCTTCTGACATTTCAGACTGTTACCCTGGTTTGAAAAATAATCCCTGGCCTCCCCGGTGGCCAGCGCGTAGACTGCTGCACTGTGAGGCTAACCGCAGCCTCTGCAGCACGGGTTCGTTTCCCGGCCGGCCACAGAGAAACCCACATGGCACAGCAGACCTCTCCTGTCTCGCCCGCTGCTCCCCTCAGCAGTGTGTTTCAGTCAGTCTGCCTGTTCTGTTCCCTAGTCTGTTTCTGGTGGATCCTCTCTGGTCCTAAGTATGAAGGAAAAACATATTCTACCTTACTCTCCATGTATTTCATTGTTTGGGATATTGGTACAGATTCATGCAACTGGTCTTTTCACACATTTACAGTCTTGATGAGTGGGAAAGTGAAGTAGTCAGAAGTTTGCAAATACTTCACACTACTAAAATAACCCTCCCATGCCTCTGACCTGTACCCCAGTTCCTGTATAAATAAATCTTAAAAAAAATAAATAAAAATAAAAAATAATCCTTGCTCTGCCCTTCTCATCGGAGCCTCCTGTGAGCATTGACTAGCTCTGCAGCAGAGGGGTTCATGGTGCGCCTTTTGTTCAGAGAAAGAAAGCTCTAAGTGACAGTTGTGACCATCCCTTGGCCAGGTACGACAGGTGAGTCAGTTGTGTAGAGGCAGGATGAGCTACACCTGGACATTATACAGCCAAATTCTGTTTATAAATGTTTGTAAACACCCCCATTTCTTCCAGGTGAAGTGTTTTATTTATGTGCTCTGCCTTTGACTATCAGGCTGAGGGAAGAGCAGCTCTCCACCTTGCCTCTTAAGGATGAGGTGAGAAGTAACTGAATATTGTTGAGATCTAGAAATGAGCACATAATCTGTGCTCACCAGTTCAGGGGCTTAACAGATGCCTGCCAACTGGCCTCGTTGGCAGGAATATTGGTTGAGGGTGTTTTTAGCTGGGGTTCTGTTCCTGTCTACCTGCAGCTACCTGTCAGAAGATGCAGGTTGGAGCTCAGGGACGTGTGAAGGGGGATATCAGGTGTCAGTGTCTTTGGCAGAGAAGGCTGAATTTTAGTAGGTTGTTAGCTACTAGGCCAGTTCTCCCTTGGGACTATTATTTAGCTGAATTGTTTATTTTCTTGAAATTTCTAGCATAGTGTGAGGGCCAGTTTTAAGGCTCTGAGAGTACATAGAAATAGAAGACCACGGGGTCTTTATGAAAGGCTGAAACGGGGCAGAGAGAGGGAAACTTTCCTATAGTCCAGTGTCTGTGACGCTTTTTGACTATAATTAATTTGACTATAATTAAAAGAACTAAACTCTGCTCACGGAACATCATGGTTTTTTAACTAAACAGTTCATTGTAAGATGCCTCTTTGGGGATAGTTGAGAGGAAAATGTTCACTTTGCTTGGAAACAGAACAAATTGTGAGAACTTGGGCTCTGCACCTTCCTCCCTCCCGATGTGCGTGCGTGTGTGTGTGCACACACTCGGGCACACTCATGCACACACTCAGCAAAGCCAATGTAAAATCAGTAACTTCTGATTTGGGGAGTGGCTTCAGCCCCTAGGGTGCAGTTGGCCTGGTGGGTCATCTGTCTGATTTGCCCCCTGGACCATTCTCTGCAGAGGTAAACTGAGTCCTGGTGGGACCCACCCCATTAGAACAGGATTGAAATCCCACCCTGGGACAATTTTGAGTATCCCTTATAGGACAGGGTACCTTCTTGACGCCTCCGATTATTTGGATTACTGAGCAGTGGGCTCTGGTGCTAAAAGGTTTTCAAATATCACACTTATCCTTACAGTGACCCCATGTTCTTGGTATTTCATGGGTGAAGAATTTGAGTTGTGACTGGTGTCGCTTGTCCTGAGCTAGCACAGAGACGGGTGGCAGAGACCTGGGTCTCGAGTTGGGTGGGGTGCCCTCAACTATTGAGAGGGGACAGCAAGGCAGAGAAGAGAACTGGACTCCACCGGACAGTGGGCACATCCTAGAATTGGAGAGGTGCAGGAGGTGGGGGATCTTGACTATCTGCGGAGGCCACTGGCACACCCTGGAGTGTGGTGGGCGGAGTCCTGCGCCAGCCCGGCACTGCAGCAGTCTCTTGACCACATTTCCTTATCAGTGAAAGCAGACTGACATCTCAAACCAACTGAGAGTTTCAGATTGATGATCTTTTTGTTGGTTGCCCGTGAGCCTTCTCTGAGTATAGCAACAAAATGACTGGGGTACACTTCCAGGGCCCTTTGTGGCCAAAGTGAAGGGAAACTAAGCAGGGAAATGACTAGAAAGATGATTCTCTCAGGGAGCCCTGAGTCTTGATTTTGGCCTTTCTCAGGAATCCTTCCCTAAAAAGAAGGGCCCCAGCCCAGAAAATGGGAGCCCTTTTTTTTTTTTTTTTTTGAGCATTTTCTCCCAGGAGGGCTGAAGAAGCTGTTTTCAGAATGTGAGGATTATCTTCCAGTCCTGGCAAAGGTGAGTTCTAATTCCACAGAAGTAGAAACCCCACACCCTCCCTTCTCACCCTTTCCCCTCCAGCCTTTTCTAAAAGTAAAGGAAACATATTTTTTCATTTTAAATTATTTTATTTTATATAAAAAGAACAATAACAATAAGTTTAAAGACACACACAGTATAAACACCTGGGTAAGATTTTGTTCATGTCCATGATGACACCAGAACTACTATTAAAGTGCAAGTTTTATGTTTTTTCTTTGTGCAATTTCACACACACATGTAAACAAGTCACTTGAATATGATTTGACCCACACCCCCTTAGTTTCCAGAGGGCAGAGGCTTTCCCAGCTGTCATGGCAACCCGGAATCACAGACAAGGTAATGCCCTGTTTGTCCTGCCCTTCCAGCAGAACTGAGGTCTCCTGAAGTCTAACAGTGGCTGACTAACTTCTACCACCACCCCACCCGCCCCCATTCTTGGGTCTTTGTGAACAAGACAAATTCACCCAGCGGTGGGTCGGTGTCCCCTAAACAGTGGGGGTGCCTGGCGGGAACGGGGAATCAGAGGTGGGGTGAGTCCCGATCTTAGCCAGTTCTCTTTCCTTCCAACGCAGATGACTGTCCCCGTTAGTTTGCGCCTCCCCAGTGCGCAGGGCCCGGGTCTCGGGGAGGGAAGACCCGGGTCCGCGAGCGCACGCGGCCGGGGCGCACGGGGCTGGCCGGGACATCAGACTTGGCTTTTCAACAAAAAGGTCCTCCTTAGGTTCTGCCGCTGGCGCGAGGGCCGAGGGGCTCCTAACTGATGACGCAGCGCTCCTTGTCCTTGGCCTGGCCGCCGCCGCTGGCCTTCTCGCGGATGTACATGAGGTCGCTGTGCACGCTGGGCCTCCGCGCAAAGGGCGCCACGATGCCGAAGGCGTCGCCCGCCTCGCCCGCGCCGCCGCTGCCGGCCCGCAGCAGCTTCTTGTTCCGCAGCGCCTTCTTGTGCAGCACGTCGCAGTACTGCACGGACACCTTGCGGTGCAGGTCCGGGCTCATCTCGCTGGGCAACTTGGCCATCGCGAAGAGCGCGCGGAACATCTGGTCGAGGCTGCTGTTCTTCTTGGCGGAGATCTCGAAGTAGGCGCAGCGCTGGGGGTCGTCACCCACCAGCTGCTCGATCTCGCGCTGCTCCACCTCCCGGTAGAAGTCCCGGTCACCCTTGTTGCCGCAGATGACCAGCGGCACGTCCACGTTCTCCTTGGTTTTGTTCTTGAGGCAGGACTTGGTGTCGAGGATCTGCTGTTTGAGCCTCTGGACCTCCTCGAAAGAGTCGCGGTTGTCCAGGCTGAACACCAGGATGAAAACGTCTCCTGCGGGGGCAGAGGGGGAAGAAGCAAGTGAGGAGGGCTGCCCCAAGGGACACCTTAAGTTGGGCTGACTTTGGGGCTTCCCACGCGGGGCGCGGTGACCTTGCGGCGCGCAAAGCGGCGCGCGGCGGCGGGACAGGCGGCCAGCCCCGCCGGCCCCGGCCCTGCCCGGCGCCCCTGGAGCAGGGGCCCCGCACCTCCCGCGGGCGCAGCGCCCTCCCACCGCCCGCGGCCCTGCCCCGGGCCCCGCGCTCACCTGTGAGGATGGAGAGGCGCCGCATGGCGGGGAAGGGGTGGTTGCCGGACGTGTCGAGGATGTCCAGCTGGTAGACCTCGCCGCGGATGGAGTAGAACTTGCGGTGGAAGTCCTCGATGGTGGGCGTGTAGGCGTCCTCGAAGCGGCCCGTGAGGAAGCGCGACACGATGGCGGTCTTGCCCACCTTGGACGAGCCGAGGATGACCATACGGTAGCAGTTCTTGGCCGGGATACTCAGCTCCGAGTCGCTCGGGCACATCTTCTTGATCATCGCGGCCAGTTTCATTGGGCGCGGGGGCCGCGGGGGCGGGTCCGGGCCGAGAGAAGCGCGGAGGGCGGCCGGGGCGCGGGGCGGAGAGGCCGAGCGGCTCTGCTCGGACTCCGACGGCGGCTCGGGCTGCGGCTGGGGCTTGGCGCGGGCGCTGGCTCCGGCTCAAGCTCGGCTCAGACTCTTGGGCAAAGTCGCTCGCTCTGGCTCCGGGCGCCCAGCGGCGGCCCTTATATGCTGCCCGCCGGGCCGCCCCGCCCCGCGCCCTCCCAGTCGGTGCGTCACGCCCCGCGGCCCCCACCTTTCCGCCCGCCCTCACCCGCCCCCCGCGACCTCGGCGGGCTGCGGCCGGCGCAGCGCCCTGGGCGCCGCAAGAAAACCAAGCCCGGGTCCGGCTGGCGCTAGGGGCGCGGAGCCCCCGCTGTTCCGCCCAGGGGCCTCAGTGGCTTCTGGCTGCGCCGCCGCCCCCTGCGGCTTGGGGCACAGACGCCCGCCCGCGACACATCCGCATGCCCGCTCGCTTTCCTTGGGCCTCAGTTTCCCCCAGAGAATCACAGCAGTAATCCCGTAATAGCGGCAGCGCAATAGCAGGCGCTTGCAGAGGCCAGACACCGGGCCGCGGCTTTGCTCCCCTCATCTCGCGCTGTACTCAGAGCAGAGCCCCCCGGGCCCGGCCCCCGCCCCCTTTTCCTGTGCGCGCTTCCCGGCGGCGGCCTCAGCGCCGGAGCCGGCGCCGCGCGCTCCCGCCGTCAGAGGGCGGCAGAGGGCCCGGGCCGCGGCGGAGCGGGGCCGGAGCCTGGCGCGCCGGGCTGGGGGTGCTGGCGAAGCTGCAAGTTTGGGGCCTGGAAAGTACAGGACTCCCGCCTTGGGACCCCAGGCTGGAACCGAGCAAGAGTGGAATCGCCCCCCCCACCCCCCCGCGCCTCCCCGGCGCCTTTCTCCACACCAGAGAGGCTGAGGTTTTCAAAGCTGCGCTTTTCAGGGCTGTGCCCATGCTCTTCTGGTCTGTGAGCTGGAGACGCTAGGAGACTCGCCCTGCCTAGGTCAGGCCTAGACCAGCGTTTCGTGCCTCTGGGGTCCCTTGGGCCCTCCTTCCCATTTTATAGTTGGAGGAGCAGGGGCTCAGCTACAGCGGGGGTCTGGGCTGACAGCACAGCTCCTGCCCTCTCCCAGCCTTGGGTTCTTCTGGAAGATGGGGGTTCCGGTTTTGTGACTGTGAATGAGAAAGTGCAGCTGGTTTAGGGGGCAGGTCCTGGAGGGAACAACAACAATAGTAAATGACCCATGAGGCTGCAGAGCTAAGGGCGGGGGCTGCAGGAGCAAACCAGGAGCAGGTTGATCAGTAACCAGGAGTGGGCCAAGGCTGCTTAAATGCCAGGAAATAGGCTACCACTCTGGAGCTCATGAAAGAGCCATTGCACCTCAAGGCCAGTCCGTGCTGTGGACTGTCTGTGCTGTGGACTGTCTGTGCTGCTTTACTTTGGCTGTGTCTAATTTGGGAGAAACCAGAAAGCCATTAAAAACTTCCCTCCCAGGGCCTCCCTGGTGGCACAAGGGGTTAAGTCTCAGCACTGTGAAGCTATCAGCAGCCACTGCAGCAAGAGTTCGATCCCCAGCCAGGGAGCTGACCCACATGGAACAGCAGACCTCTCCTGTCTCACCCACTGCTCCCCTCATTGGTGTATTTCAGTCAATCCACCTGTTCTGTTCCCCACTCTGTCTCTGGCGAGTCCTCTCACTCCCCGCACCTCTGGCCTGTACCCGAGTTCTTGTATGCATAAGTAAATAAATCTTTTTAAAAAACACAACCTGCATTAAAAAAAAAAAAAAAAAAAAAAAGGGACAGCTCCGGTCATGGAGGGGATAGCATGTCCTCAAAGGCTGTGTTCACAGAGGTGCATGTGGAGGAGTGAGTTCCCTGTTCCTGGAGGTATGCGAGAAGATGCAGATAACGAAGCTCTGGGTAAGATCAGACTAGAAGCTTCTCAGGGACACTCAAGTCCTGAGACAGACTCTCTATTCCAGATACCAAAGAGTTTGAGGAACCCCATAGGTAAGGAGGGGAGCCCAGCCAGCACTGCCTGAATGCCTGCTGTGTATACACAGGCAGATATGCTTATGACAGGCATTTTATAACAAAGGACACTGAGACTCTGGGCACTGTGTGCACAGGTGGAGTCTGGGCTTACCCCCAACATGAACAGGAGAAAGGCCAATCCTGTGCCCTTGGAGGGCTGGGGCCTGCTCCGGTAAGGCTGGGCCAGGAGGGGCCAGCCAACGAGCAGAACATGTGGTGGTGACATGAGGTCCAGGCGGGATTAGGAAAGAAATGTCATCGGTAACCAGAGACAAAGGGTGTGCCCAAGGAGTGTGGAAGGGACTTGAGTGCTGGGTCCAGGCCCTCTGATCCCATCTAGGAAGCCCACCCAGATGCCAAAAGCCCGTCTTTTCTGCTTCTAACAGAGCAGTATGCATGGGAGCCCCAAGACATGGCCAGACAGGTCATCAGAGTCGGGGTAAGCCTGGTATCTGTGGTCCACAGGCCCTTTCCTTCTAGTCAGTTTGAGCATAGCTCATCAGATTGGGTGAAGCAAGGTAGCCCCTCATGCTTTCCTGGCCCCAGCGCCTCCCCATGGCCTGTTCCATGCCAGTTTTCAGAGCAGGCACATTTCCATCCAGAAACAGGCCCCTCAGAGGCAAAGAGGGGGGCAGTGCTGGCACAAGGTAAGGTGGTGGGGGGGTGCATTTGTGATTTCCTAATAATCCTGAGATCTGGGAATGACCTAGTGGCCTGGGGTTTGGAGCAACATGAGTGTCACAGTCCAGCTTTCTGCAGCAGGGTTGGTGCTCTATAGGGCCCCAACCCAGCTCAACCGCTTGGCCAGCCTCAGGGGCCAGGTGCCTTGTGGCTGACACCTGTTGTGAGCTCAGTCCCATAGAGCCTACTATACAGCCTGCTGTTTGGGGCACCCAGCTTGTTTGCACCTCAGGCCTTTGCACCTGCCATTCCCTCTGCTTGGAGTGCTCTTCCTCCAGTTTGCTCCCTCTTATCACATGGGGCTCCGCTCAAATGTCACCTTCTCAGAGATGGCTCCCCTGACCACATGGCTAACTAACATGGACTCCCAGCCCCACCAGGTACTTCCAAGTCACTTTTAAATTTTCTGGCTTAATGTTTTTCACTATCTGACCACTTTCCCTGGACAGAAGCTCACAGGAACTGGAAGCTCCTTGGCACACAGGGTGGCACATGTGTCTGGCCACTGGGCATCATGATGACACCCCCACCCTGAGGCTGGATGGGCTCCCTGAAGGGAAGAGGAAGAGGAAGGAAGTCCTGGGGCAGGGGTGAGGTAGGCGGCACAGGAGACCCAAACAACTGGGCAAGTCTCTTCCCTCAATGCACGGACAGTGGTGACCGCCAAGGGGCTGGCCTCGGAGGCCTCCGGGGGAACATGTCCCCATGTCCCCGCCCATGCCTTCCCCATGTGAATGGACAGAGACATGGAGGGGGTGCTGGAGTCAGGGTGCCTTTATTGGTGCATCAAGACATGGTGGGAAGAGGGGGCTCAGAGGCCACACAGCAGCATGTCCAGGGACCCCAAGGCAGCGGTATCCAAGGCACTGGAGCAGCCCTCACTGGGCGAGCACCAAGCAGGGCCGGGCGCCATTCTCCCCTCGCAGGGCTTGGCACTCGGGGTAGGCTGGGGGGCAGCAGGCCCTAGCAAAGTGGACGAGCGCCCCATCAGCTTCTCTTGTGGGTCTGAGAGGCTTTTTGCCGGTAGATCTCCGCAGTAAAGGGCCTGTGGGGGCAAGGAAAGAGGCTCCGATCAGCTGGCCCCGGGAAGTGTGACCACCCCAAGTCTTGCTGCTCGGAGCAGGGAGGGAGTGAGGGTGCCCATGGGAACAGGAGACTGGAGCTGCCTTATCATGGCCCCAGTTTCTACTGAGCCCACACTAAACCTCCCGTCTGCTGCTCTGACCAGTGACCTGGTGTGGCCTAGTGACAGGCAGCCAGCCCAAGCTGCCCTGATCACAGGACAGGCCCTGAGGGAAGAAACAGGGCCAGCTTAGTAGCCACCCTTACACCAGACAACAGCCCTGGTTCCCAGCCCGAAATGGCGCCTACTCACTCCTCATACAGGAGGGCGATCACATAGATGAGGGCCACCACCATGGTCAGCAGCAGGCCTGCAGGGCTGGCGTTCCTGTGGGAGAGATGTGTGATCAGTCTATGGGCCCAGTGCCGGCCTCTCCCTGCCACCCTGGTGTCCTGTGGCCCAGTGAGCTGTGCCTGGCAGCCCCCTTCCTGGGTCTGACTTCTTGCTCAAACCAGGGCCTCCACCATCTGGATCCCCACCCACTGATCACCTAGCCACCTGCTTGTCCAGGCTGGCTTGCATGTTCCCCCCAGCCCTACCCCAGACCCCGTGGGCCCATGCTCACTGTCTCGTGTCTCCAGCCCTGAGCTGGGGCTCAGGACACAGAAGTGGACCAGGAAAGGAAGGAGTGACTGGCCCCTCAGAACTGTCCAGGTGGCCAGGTGTGTTCTTTTCTGTATAGGAAGATGTTCAGGGGAGAAACGCTACCCCCGCCTGCCGATGACAGTGTTCTCAGGACATTTTCTACAAATGGGTGCAGGACCCCAAAGCCAGGTGGAAGCATCCTGTAGACTCTCTGCAAGTGACTGCCATATGGAGGAGTCTGGGAAGTCGTGAAAGTGTTCCCCATCTTTTCCGTAGTTATCGCTGATCCAGAGGCTCCACAGGTGCTGGGCTGCTATGTCCAGATCAGCCAGGAAGGAGAGGCTGCAACACCACCTCCTCAGGAGCCCTAGGCCAGGGTCTCAGGAACACGTGTGAACCTTGCCCACCCCCCTCCCAGGACCTCACACTGTTTGTCCACCTGGGAGCTCCGGGAGGGAGCCAAGTGTACTTCATGAAGGCTCACCAACCCCCGGTCTGTGGGCTCCATTCAAATCACCCTGGAGGGCAGAATGGAGCCCCTGTCCCTCGCCACTGCCATGTGGACAGGCCAAGGCCATATGGAGCACTTTCTGGTGCAGAAATGAAACCTTCCCTCCTGGAGCTTTGCTCCATAGCCCTAGTGTGGTTATCTAGAACAGGCAGAGCCTCCCTGTCCATGAGCCTGGCACCCCGGGGAGCCAAGTAACCAGGAGCCTCAGAGGCCATATGGCCCCTGGGTCAGGTCTGGGCAATAGCCCCAAAGCGTGAACCAAACAGGCTCCCCTCTTCCTTTATATCCGCTGAAACTGCCCACTTTCAATCTTGCTAACAAGATAGAAGGAAAGGTGATCGTCCCACTCTACAGATAAGAAACTGAGTACCAGAGCAACCCACATGCTGGATCCCTGCCTGGCCCTGAGCCAGAGTGGTGGTGGGGTTAGTCACCAAGCCCCGCCGCACATGGCGGGGGCCTCTCACTCAAGCTAGAGGGCTGAGAGGGTGGAAGCTTGGAGAGAGCAGGAGGCCCTGCTGCCCTGCTCCCAGCCATGTGCCCAGGAATCCCCGATCCTGGGGCCGCCAGGGCTCCCACACACCTGGTTGCCTGGGCACCAGGAAGCCCCTCCCGTGAGGCCCTAAGCAGGAGACAGATGGACTGTAGAAGGCCGGGAGCAGCCCTGCTGGGTCAGCGTCTTACAGCCGGGGTAATGGCTCATCGCTAACGCGCTCTCAGCCAGAGGCCCTTTCCAAGTCACCACGAGGCTGATGTCCTCCTCAGGGGACCGTGGGCACCTGGGTCTCCAGAGAGTCCCTCACATCTTCCTGAGAGCCCTGCCTGAGGTAGGGGTGAGCTCTCACGCCCAGTGCCAGGCACTGCTGGGGCACAAAGGAGACACCGTGGGAAAGCAGTAGGGGGAGAGGGGGGCCGTTGAGTTTGGAAGGACTTACTGGGGGTGGGAGTGGGGTGATTCTGGGCTGGTAAGTTGGAGGTAGGGAGAGCATAGCATTTGGGCAACTGAAAGGTTGCAGGGAGGACCTGAGTGGGCTCATCTGTGGCATGGGTGATGCCAGAGGTGCAGAGCCTGGCCCTCGGGAGCCCAAAACCAGGTGAAGGAGCCAAGCTGGAAGGCAGGTGGTCTGGGACTGTCTGGTCTGGAAGTGGAGCCAGACTAGGGAGGATCCTACAGACACAGAAGTCCCTTCCTAGCTCCTCCTCTGCTGCAGGGCTGCCTCCTAGGGTGGGCAGTGGGAGGGAACACCTTGGGCTGATAATCCACCATTTGGGAATCATTCCTTTGGGCCCTATAAACTTTCTGGCCTCTGGGAGCCCCTGTAATGTTTTAGGCGATGGTTTCCAAATCTTAAATTATAGCAGAACAGGGCCTCCCTGGTGGCGCAAGGGGTTAAGCACTACACTATGAAGCAACCCACAGCGTCTGCAGCACGAGTTTGATCCCGGGCCAGGGAGAAACCCACATGGCGAGACAGACCTCTCCTGTCTCACCCGCTGCTCCCCTCAGCAGTAGGTTTCAGTTAGTCTGCCTGTTCTGTTCCCCACTCTGTCTCTGGTGAGTTCTCTCACCCCCCGCACCTCTGGCCTGTACCCCAGCTTTTGTATGCATACATAAATAAATCCTAAAAAAAAAAAATTATAGCAGAGTACTTTCTATAAAAGAAGGCTTCTATGGAGGTAGCCCTAACACAGAAAATAGATAAAAGGGGAAATTGCTGGGCGGGGTGTGTGGCATGAAGCCCAGCGCTGAAGAGCTCCCTATGCCAGCCTCTTGGACAAAGAGGTCCTCCTGGACCTCTGAATGGCAGGAAGGAAGGTGAGGCCTGTGCCCTGGGGGTCACAGTAGGTGCCCACAGACAGTGGTCGCAGATAGCAGTCAGTCCTGGGCCCATTCCCTCCCAGACCCTGGGGATCCTTCCCTCTGCAGGATGAGGATCTCTGAGTGGGAAACTCCCCTGATGGGATGTGAAGCTTTGGGGACTACTCCGAGCCCCAGATCACCCCTTCTGCCCTCTCCCTGTGTGGGACTAGTCCATCGTTCATGGACTTCAGGCCCCAGTGTCCTAGCACAAGCCAGCAACCCACAGTTCATTGATCAAGAATGGTTTTTACATTTTTACATGGTCCAAAAAGAATAAAAGGAATAATACTTTGTGACACATGGATATTATATGAAATTCAAATTTCTGTGTTTATCAGTGAAGTGACACTAGCACATACCCTTCTCCACCTTTACCTCTTAATGCAGTTTTCAAGCTATGGGGGCAGCACCTTGGGGGCAGCACCTTGCCTGTGGCCGCCAAGCCTAGTTCCTTAGGCTCCTGACGGGAAAGTCTGCCAACCCTGTTCTAGGATTTTGTTTGTTTCTACAGATAAGAAACTCCTGAGGAATGGAGGCTGACTGATGCCTTTGGGCTCCTGAATGACAGGGAGGCTGGCTGCCTTCCAGGATGTAGGGAGGATGGGCCAGGAAGGCCGCTACTCACATGATGGCCCAGCCCAGGTAATTGGCCGTGCTGCCCCAGTACATGGGGTTGTCTAGGATATTGAATGGAAACGTGGTCACTCTTGCCTCCTTGAGGATTCCGAAGTAATCACCTGTGAACAAGGTGGGGCAGTATGAGAAGGTCACATCCTGGTCATACCATGACTGAGGGGGGCCCTGGCATATGGTGAGGCCTGTCTTTCAGGAGGCTCCAGGCCTTCAGGGGTCAGGGAGGAAGATTACTGAGTCGGAGGCACCCAGGGGGCCCTAGTGGCTAAAGCCCAGAGCCTCACCCCCTTCTCACCATCTGCTCCTCTCCTCTGTGCCTTTGCACATGCTGTTCCCTCTGTTTGGGATGCTTTTCCCTATATTCTGTACAGCGAGTGCCTTCCCTCCTTTGTCACTTCTCCCCTGGCTGCCTATAGGGGATCTTCCCAACTCCACTATCTAAAGCAGGTCCTGCCTGCTACTATTTTTGCCCCACTTCTTCCCTTCTCACCTGGTATGTGGCCTGGTAGAGAAAACAAGGGGGCTGCCACACAGGAAGGCAGCCTTGGTGTTACTACTTTTCCACTCCAAGCCATCCCAAAGGTGCCTGTCACAGTGGAGTGGCCATCAGACGGATCCCAGAAAGGCTGGTCACCCCCTCCTCTGTCACCCACTGAAGTCGCACTAAGAAGTGTAGGAAGTCCCAGGAACCTCAGCTCTCACCATGCGCCCCCAGAACTGCTTAGGAAAGAGTGTTGCCATTTCATCCCGGTCTTCTCTCCCCAGAAATCTCTTGGAGCTTCATTGCAGGCAGAAATAGGGCAACTTTGGGAACAAGGGGTACAGGCCCCTGAGGAGTTGTGGGGAGGGAAGGACGCACTGGAAAGCTTTCTTCCCAGGAGGCAGAAAATGGGGTGGCACAGATACAGCTTTGGGGCTGACTCATGGCAGGGAAGTGGCTGCTGTGCCCTAGATGCACAACCCGGCGTGGCCCACTCGGTTCTAGGCCATTTCTTCGGGGGGGGGGGGGGGGGGGGGAGGGGCGCTGTAGTGGCTGGTATCTCGGGCTCCTTTCCTTCCTCCTTTCCCCCTGACCTGTCCTGCAGGAGTCTCCCCACATGGTCCAGATCCTGACCATCCCACCACTCCACCCCTCCCAGACCCTCCGCAATTTCCTAAACTCTGCTCACAGAGGCTGCACGCTGTAGGGCAGCTCACCCTTGGTCTCCAGAGGGCCCAAATAGGGCTGCAAAGCTCCCTCTACCTGCTTGTGGCCCTTGCCTCCAGCTTTGCAAGGTCCATACTGTGATCTCCAATCCTTCCTAGGCCTCTGGTCTCGGCACCAACCTTCTCATGTTGGGAGAAGACTCTCCAAACCCCTCTATGGCTCTCACCAACCTGGCAGTGAAGCCTCAGGCCCCTGCAAGGCCTTTCAGGAACAGCGTGGGCAAGCCCGGCCTGCCTCCAGCCCTGCTCCTTCTGGGCCCCTACTCACCAGCCAATCTGCCAGCTAATCTGCCTTCCTTCCCACTGACCCATTCCCACTAGCGGACCTACGAGCGCCTGACATCCTCTCTTCCCAGTTCCCACCTGCCCCTCCTTTAGCACCAGATTCCCCACAACTCCTATCTGAGCACTTTGCCCTCAACCACCTGCTCTAAACCCACTGCTGTGAGCACTTCACAGGGCAACTGCTCCTGCGTGGATCTCATCTGCCCCTAAATGTGGTAGAGATTCCAGGTAAGCTGAGTGGTTGCTGGAGACCACCCTGGGCACTGGAGGAAACTGAGGCAAGTCCCACAGATGGCTGGGGCTGAGAGGAAGGAGGACTGAGAGCCCCTGAGTCAGCCATCAGAGGGCCAGGCACCTCTGGACACCTCCCAGTGTTGCCTGTTTGCTGGGAGGGGCTCCCTCTGCAGGTAGCAGCTGTACCCAAGGGTGCCCCTGACCTTGCAGCCTCCCCCAGCTGCTTTTCTCCCTGGGCTTCCGAGTTGCTGGATATGATGGATATCACAAGGACACTGGGCTAGGCCAACACTGGGCTCCCAGCCAGAAAACACCAGAGCTGCAGACAATGGGGAATGCAGAGAAGGACAGCATCCCCCTCCCCCCCCAGACCTGGGCCAGCTCCACTTGTGGCCCAACACAGTGGAGCAAGGTGCCACCTGGCCTGGCCATCAGGCCGCTAGATGAGATGTGAGAGCCAGCTTCCCGAGCCAGCCTTAGATGAGCTGAGCCTGGTGCGGTAGGTGCCAGGCCCTACATGGATGGCAGGGCGGCCAGCCACATAGTCCCGCTCCTCCCCTGGACCCAAGGGGTTCTACGCAAGGCCCTTGACCCTCGGGGTCTTACCTAGGAAGGTCCCAGTGAAGCCCAGTGCAAAGAAGCTGGAGAGCACAAACACACTGCCCATGCCCAGCAGCACCAGCCCCACACCGTAGGCTATGGGATTATCCAGGCTCTTCATCTTGGGCTGGCTTAGCATGGCCTCCGTAAAGCTGCAGGGGAGACAGGAGACAGAGATCATGGGTGTGGGGAGTGGCCCGTCTGCTCCCCCACACCCATCCCTCAGGTGGCCCTCGAGTAGCACACCAGGCCACTGAAAGCCTTGTCAAAAGGCAAGAGGGTTGACCAAAAGGGTGTGACTACTCCAGTGAGTTTGGAGGTCAGGTTCTCCAATGGGATCCTGAAGACAACACTGGAAGGTCTGTGCAGGTAGGGCAAAGCACCTGGGCTCGCGGTAATGCAGGGTGCAGGGACTGCCTCATTAGGAGAGGGCAGGTGCTAATGGGAGGGATACCCGCACGGGAAGTGCATGCACATGTCACAGCTCTCTCCACATGCCTTCTCCGCCACAGCATCAGAAGCGACATGGAGATCTCCTCCCTTGGGACAACTGCTTGCCCTCACTCTGTACCAGGCACCAGCTAGAGGGCATCTGACTGTCTACCCACTCATACACCCACCCACCCTCCCCCACCCATCCATCTGCCCATCCATCCATCCATCCATCCACCCATCATAAAGTACCTATTTGTCAGGCTCTTTCAAGCAGAACAAATTCATCATTCACTCATTCTTTCATTCATTCCATTGGTAAATTCAGGTTGTTGTAGAACAATCCTTATGTCGAACTAAAAATCATCTCCCAGAACTCTTTGCTTCAACTACTTTCAGCTCTCAGGACAGAGGTTGCTTCTCTCCTCGATCTTTCTAGTACCTGGTACTTCAGGCAGAATGAAGTTTAGTGAATATTCATCAAATAGAGAGAAAGCAGCGCTTCAACCCTCTTCCTTTCTCTCCAGAGTAGAGAAAGGGGGACAGGCAGGAAGGAGGTGGTGGGGAGGCCTGTGTACAAACAGCAAACAGGGCACACAGGCCTGCATGATGACCTATCAGTAGCGGCACACCTGGCCACTGGTCACGCTTCCCACACAGCAACCTCTCCACCCACCACTGCCCTATCATAGCCCTCTCTGCCCAGCTCAGGGTCACTCTGCAGTTCCAGGTCAAGCCACTGGGATTGAATGGCCCAGGGTCACACACACTGGTGTTTGTGCCAGATCACCACACCCTGCTCTGCCCCTCCACACCTTCACCTGACTTTCAGGTAAACGGGCAACCCTATGAACCAGGCACACCTTCTACCCTGTGTGCCCTTGAGCAGGGCCATGGGGTAGGCAGCCTCGGTGCCCACCTCACCTCTCCTGCCTGCATGGAGAGGATGGAGCCCATCACAGCTCCCCCATCTGCACTGGCCCCCTGGCTCCCCTGCATCATGAAATGTGTAGCAGTGTGTGTGTGTGGGGGGTGTAGTCAGAACTCTGTGCTCTCAAGAGCTACGGTGACACCCCCTCCTACTTCCCAGCCCTAGGCGCTGCCTGCCTCCCTATTTAGCTCCAGGCTGACCTCCAGCCCCAAGCCTAGGGCAGGGAGACCTAATGGACATCCTCTGGCCAGCCTGTGGCCGCCAGTAGCCTAGCCTACCCATCTGCCTAGATTTCTCCGGGGGGCAGCCCATCAGAGGGTTCCTGGCAGAAGAGCTGGGTTGGATTTCAGACAGATCTGGATGCCTTGGGTCCCAGTTTCCTCCTCTGTGTGACAGCGAGGTTAATTTCTCCCGTCTCCCTGCAGGGAGCTGCTGCTGTCGCTGTGCACACTGATAACAGGGACCCACAGGCTCTGACATGAGGCTGTGGGCAGCGGGAAGGACAGACACCAGAGTGACCCACGTGAAGACCAGTGCTGTGGACAGGCAAGTGAGGTGGGTCCAGAAAACCATGAGAAGTTTAAGCAGAGATCTGATGGGGAAAAAAAATCACCAGGGGGAAGGGAACACGCACAAAGAAGCTTTTAGAAAGAGGCACAGCCCAGTGGGCAGAGTCCAGGACAGGGGAAAGGAGCCTGTGGAAAGAGTTCACAATGAACTTAATGTGGTTGGAAAGTCGCTGCTTCAGAAAAGCAGTGGGGACACCAGTTGGGTTACTGTAACATCAGGGCTGCAGGGCTGGGGGAGCCCAGCACAGCCCAGACACAGGGCTTCAGAGAACCTGGCGCGGGCCCACTGTGTGGCCTGGGTCTCATGCTTGAGCTGGGCCGTCTCAGGTTCCTCCGCCAGAATTCATTTTTCATCAGCCAAACAGCAGGCAAACTGCCTGACCGCTGTGTACGCAGCAGGGGTGCAGATGAAAAGGGAGCCTTCCCGCTCTGACGTGCTACACTGAAGCAGCTTCCCTGGGGGATGGCTCTGAAGGAAAAGCCATCTGGTTGGAAGCAGATGGAGACTTCTGGCCAAGGGCGGGCCTAGGGCCAGTGATGAGGGGAAGCAGGCCCAGCGGGGCATGGGGCTGCCCCAGATTTGACCCAGGGAACCTCAGCCCACCTGTGGCTCCTCTTCCATTCCCTCACCAGTGGCAGGGAGGAGAGGGTCTAGAGGAAGCCCCTCACCAGCCCCTGCCCCTAGCACATCTGTGTGCACCCCCCAAGAAATCAGGGTATCTCTGAGCAGAGAACAGGTCTGGCCTCCCCTGGTGCCCAGAGCCTCACATACTCAGGGTCCAAAAGGGGCAGGCTTACGGGAATGATGTGCCCGACCCTGAGGAGGTGATCTGTGGTGTTCCAGCTCCTCTATTAAGCCAGGAAAGCACAGTCCATTCCACATGGAAAATTGACAGAGAGACGAGAGGCTCTGCGGGCCTTGCTCCTTAAGAGAATGAATAGGCCATTTCCTTTGGAAATACTCACACCGGGTGAGTGCAGAGAGACTCATTCATTGGTCTCAGCTTCTATTTTTAAAACTAGGATTGGGTTTTCGGTCATCAGCATGACTTGAGGCTGTCCTCACTCTGTTCCCCTGAAATCCCGGAACCTGGGCTGGAGGTAGGGAGTGGGGCATCAGACGTATGTGCTTGACCAGGCACCTGCTCAGCCACACTCAGCACCTGCAACCCCAAGACAGTTCGTTTCTCTTTTCTATCTGCCAATGACAAACCTCTGTCAAAGTTCAGCCCTTCCAGGGTCATCTCCCAAAGTTGTCGAGGTGAACGAATGTTATTCTCGTCATCTTCTCCTTTCTCCCAGGCCTAGATTTCCCTGCTCCTCCTACTCCAACCCACCAAGCAATATTATCTATGGAAGTTGGCATCTGATTGATTCATAGTTTTTTCTCTAATACCCATTAAAATAAACATATAACTAATATCAAGCAAAAATGTCCATCTGTGTAACTTCCCAAAACATGATCTGGGGACTGGCATTTGGGGCTATGATTCTGTACTAAAGCTGTGCATTTGATGGACACAGCACTGTTTAAAAGTGTTTCCAAAACCCAGCACAGGCGAGAGGGTCTGTCATGTCTTACAAATAAGGAATCAGACCTGCTGGGGGAGCGGGGGGCATTGCCAGGACCAGCAGATGCACCCATCCAAGCCTGAAAACAATGGAACACAGGGGCCAACTATCTTTGGGGGGCCCTTCTATGAATTCTAGGCTGATAACCAGTCTCCTCCAGGACTTTTGTGGTTGAGGGGCCAGTCCCGGGGAGATGTATTTTTCCCCTCCAGCTACAGATCCAGAGCTTGGGCCCTGGCCATCTGAGGGTTCCAAATCTATTTGCATGGATCTCTGGCTGCTCCTCAGCTCAGCCTTGGCTTCCACCTGCCTCCTGCCCCAGACTCCACTCCTTCCAGATCTCACCTCTAAGTCCCCAGCAGCTCCCACAGCCTACACAGTTAAGTCCAACCCACCCTGCACCTCCTGCAGAATCCCTCCCCTTGAGTGTAGGCTGTGAACCCCGGGAGGTCACTCCCTGATGGGATATAGCCAGCTTGTCACAGACGTTAAGCCCCCAGTCAGTGTACTCTGAGCTCACTGAAAAGATTACCCTGGTGGGCCTTTCAGGAGTCAGAGGACCCCTGCTACCCTGCAGAAGGCAAGCTTGCTGTGTGGAGTCCACCTATTGGGGGGTGGAAGGTCTGACCTACAGGCACAGGGAAGTGATCCCCCCGCATCCAGTGCCCGCACCTGTCACAGGACATCGCACTGCCAGTGCCCACACCTCTGACTGCCCCATCTGACTGCCCTTCTGTGCGATGACCTGTGCCCGTCTGCCCCGGTTCACTCCTCATGCAGCCACTCAGCCATCAGCCCTGTCCCGCCACATCCTGTGAGCAGTTCCAGAGGGACAATGGGGTGCAGCAGGGACTGCCCAGCTGGGGCTTCTCAGGGCTCCATTCAGCAGGTGCTCCCCGCTGCCGTCACCATTCTTACCGAGCTTGTGACTCCCGCGGACATAAGAACAGGCACCATGGAAATGCCCAGATAGGCAAGTCCACGGGCACAGAAAGTACGGGAGGGTGTAGGTGAGATGGGGTGACTGCTTAACAGGCAAGGGATTTTTGTTTGAGGTGAAAAAGTTCTGGGTGTGGATGCATAACACTGAATATACTAACTGCCACTGAAACATATACTATAAAATGATAAAATAATAAATTTTATGTATATTTTACCACAAACAAACCTCTAGGAATCAAATGGCTTGATGGGTGGAAAGGGTGCTAGGGAAAGCCTGGGGGCAGGAGGCTTCAGGCTGGAACCGGCCTGGACAGGCTTCTCACAGCTCCTGCCAACGCCCCCAGTGGAGAGGAAAGAGACCACATGGCAGAGGGAAGGACAAATGGCTGAAGGACCAAGGAGGAGGAAACAGCACCCTGCACAATCCTGTCTGTGCATGTCCCTTCTCTCTTTCCAGAAATTTCCTGAGGGGGCAAATTCAACCCAGAGAAAAGACATGGCCAGAAGGCAGGCACTAGGCAGGTCCACACAGACACGGAGACATGTGGTGAGAGGAAGAGCCAGGTGCTACTGTCCATGAGAACTGAGTGGGGGGACTGCCTCCCCAGGACCCCCAAAGGGCCAGGACATAAGAACAAACCAGAGAATTCTCTATATTGGGGCTGTAGTCAGACTGTCCCTATCGTCTCTGAGGGACCACAGTGCT